GAGCCCAGGATGTGTTTGCTGGGGTTCACTTTGTGTTGCAAGAGCGGCACAACTTCGTCTAAAGTCTCTGGCGGGCCAGGAGCAGATGTAGCCGTGAAGCGGTCAGGCAAAGGATAGAAAGCGCTTTGTTTGTTTTTTCTGCTGACAGCCACTAGAAACCGACCACCATGCACTGCCACTTTGGAAGTTGGTTTCTTGGCAACCGTGTTCCCGGCTGGCTTCTTTGTCATTTTTCGTTTCTTTGACCCCACCTTGTTTTTTCTGGTTGCCGTACGACACGAATCTACCTCCAGGATTCCGGCGTCAAAGGTCATGGATTTGTTTTTCTGAAACTCAGCCCAACCTGTCACCATGCGAGCTTGCTTGTAAATGGAATCGACATAGTCATGGGATCGCCCAACAATGTGCGCAGCTGCATCTTGAGGAATCTTAGCACTGACACAATAAACCGTACGTACGAAGCCTTGCATGTCTGGTTCATGTCCACCTCTCAGTCGGTTGATGAAGGGTGTGTAGCCAAATTTCCAATTGATACCTACAGGCAAGAACGGCCACAACTGAAAAACGCACAAGTCGAAGACTAGGTGAACATGCGTATATCATTTGCGATGGATCCAAAAAAATGAAACCATACCAAGATGCGAGGTCGCAGTGCTGGACAAGAACGGTTCGAACAACGCAGTAAGGCAGGATCTTGTTGAAGCTGGTTCAAGCTTGCTTGACATCTCCAGCACTGACGTCCCCACTGCACCCCGAAGAAACCTTTGGCTTCCAGGTATTTTTTGCACCGCATTTCAGACCACAAGGCTAAGGATGCAAAGTCAATCTGCTTGAGACCTCGCAAAGCACGGTACTTTTTGAATTTCCCACGGATTCCGGGAGAATAGCTGAGACCCTTCTTGTGAAATTCTCTGTTGACACCAGAACTCGTAGCGATGGTGCGACTCGGAGGTCGTTTGCGCCCAGAGGGATATCTATCATGTCCGAGGGATTTTTTCATTGGACGTTCCCTGTGTGAAACTCGGACCTAAAAAGGCTTTGCAAAAAAGACGTGACATGAGTGGAAAATGGCCACTGGCTTGCTCAAAAAAACCTCACACCTAGTGAAACACATGGCACCCACAACTTCACCAACCAAATTCTGGCGACTGGGAGAAACGTGCAAGGTGTGTCTGCAGTCAAGGTATCAGAGTCATGGCCAAGTGGTTTGAATCGATTCCCATGATATTCGCGATTGACAGGCCATTTCATTCTGCGGAAACTTCATGCTTCATTCTTCATCAGGTGCAAAGATCTCTCAGCAAACAAACCGCAGCAGCAGCTCTTTTTCCGATTGGCACAAAGTTCTTCACACATCGCGCTCAGTGTTTCGGCGCAAACTGGCAGGGAGTTCTGCATACTTGTTTCTCATGAACTTGGGCAGCTCCGACCATTTGTCTTTCGGAACAGGAGCGGAAAAAAAACACATTCTTTTACCATCTTGCACTTTCTTGAACCTATTGCAAAGCAAGCGAATCTGTCCTGCAAATTGACCAGAAGCATAAAGGTGCGGCGACAAAGCATATCCACAGTCTGCCCGCATGCATCTACCCCATTTTGCGTCAGGCAGGGAGGTCGCTCCATCTTCATCTGCGACCGGTTTGACACGGTCCTCAAAGAGCGCAGCCCGCTGCAGCATCGACATAGGGCCGCCAGACGAAGACGCAGCCGAAGATGAGTGAGTGAGCTCGGCAGCAGAAGCTGAGGGCAACCTGAGATTCATCATTCTCAAATGCAAATGAATGCATCAGGGAAAGAATTGACAGTACAAATCCTTGGAAAACAATTCGAAAAACAAACCAAGAAGCGGGGCATTCACAGAGTGCTTCAAAAGATAATCGAGTTTTTGTCGCAAAGCTATAGGACTATCGATAATCTTTCCACCTTGGAAGCGCGGTGGCGACAAACTTTCCGATTTAGCTGACGATGCATCTCCTTCAGCATCTTGACTTTCGGATTCCGATTCCAAAGTCAACGTAGGAGCCAACATTCTTCGAATCTCCGGGCTCTCACAGACCTAGGATACAACAGTTTGAACGTCACGAACATGACAGTACAAAGTCTATTTCGTCTATTTCGGCATCCGACAAGAAATGATAACGAGGTCATCTAAGGAAGAAAAGTAAGATGTCAAGAAAAAAACTAAAACCGAACTCAGAAACAGGAATCACGGAGGGTGGATGTTCAAGAGTTCTGCGTCCTGCAGTCGAAAGCGGCTCAATGGGCTGCCCAGATTCCAGCAAATTTTGCAACATCATTTCACATTGAAAGTCCCAAGGTTCAGCCAACTCTGAGTCAGGAAAGCTCTGCGGCATTGTTCCACGTAGCCGCTTCTGCAACCATTCACCTTGTTGAAGAACTTTCACTGGCAGAGGCCTATGTTCTTTCACATAACGAAACCAAATTTCCTTGAGAACCGACAAACCCTGGCGAAGGCTCGTCCAATGATACACTCGTTCCACTGCAGCAAAGGTGGTCTCAGCTCCAGCATCCCCATGCCATTTCAACGCTAAGATGTAGTGAACATCCCACAGTTCTTCCGTGCTCAAAAAGGACCAAAGAACACAGACAGGTGGAAACTTTTCATGAGCTGCGCGGAGGAGAATTAACAATGTAACACCATACAGAAGCGGATCCATGGAAACAGAGCCCAGCAGCGAGCTACACAAGCAAAGCTGTGCTAGACAAGCATGACATTCCCATGATATTCGCGTTAAACCCTTTCTTGCGTTTGAACCATGTAACTACGAACTACTTTTGGAAACTTATATGTCTAAGCAAACTTGACGAACTCTCACGCAACCAAGAACTCCAACCAGCCCTGACACACCAATGCAGCCCAGCCCCAACATCTGAGATGCGTACCTGCAGCGCAGGTAGCAGGCAGACATGACCGGTGAAATTTACATAAACAAATCATCCTGACAAGTATATATTATTCAGTAAATATATAATTATATAATACAGTAAATATATCATACAGTTAACACAGACCCAACCCCCCCAACCCCAAATACGTTCTTCGCGTACCATCAACATCGAAAGCAAGTGCACACACACTGCCCCCAAGACCTTCTGAGCGTAGCAACCCCCCCCAACCCCAGATGATCAGCGTAACATCATCAGCGTAACATGAACGTTAACATCCCACCCCACCCCTCCCCAACCCCAGATGATCAGCGTAACATCATCAGCGTAACATGAACGTTAACATCCCACCCCACCCCTCCCCAACCCCAGATGATCAGCGTAACATCATCAGCGTAACATGAACGTTAACATCCCACCCCACCCCACCCCAACCCCAGATGATCAGCGTAACATCATCAGCGTAACATGAACGTTAACATCCCACCCCACCCCCCCCAACCCCAGATGATCAGCGTAACATCATCAGCGTAACATGAACGTTAACATCCCACCCCACCCCACCCCAACCCCAGATGATCAGCGTAACATCATCAGCGTAACATGAACGTTAACATCCCACCCCACCCCACCCCAACCCCAGATGATCAGCGTAACATCATCAGCGTAACATGAACGTTAACATCCCACCCCACCCCACCCCAACCCCAGATGATCAGCGTAACATCATCAGCGTAACATGAACGTTAACATCCCACCCCACCCCACCCCAACCCCAGATGATCAGCGTAACATCATCAGCGTAACATGAACGTTAACATCCCACCCCACCCCACCCCAACCCCAGATGATCAGCGTAACATCATCAGCGTAACATGAACGTTAACATCCCACCCCACCCCACCCCAACCCCAGATGATCAGCGTAACATCATCAGCGTAACATGAACGTTAACATCCCACCCCACCCCACCCCAACCCCAGATGATCAGCGTAACATCATCAGCGTAACATGAACGTTGACATCCCACCCCACCCCCCCCAACCCCAAAAGCAACCCAGTAAAAACGGGGCTAACCCCCCCCGTCCAGCCAACATGTTGCGGTCTAGTTGTGACTAGATTAACTAGAGTTATTGAAAAATTCTCAGCCTATGCTCATTCCAAGGACTCGTTCTTTGGCAACTGGCCCTGCAGGTCGAGTAGCAGTTTTGAACGGCGCACACACTTTGATCTGTGGCGCCAAGGAAAAACATTTTAAACCAAACGGAGGAAGCACGGGAAGCTGGAAAATGACGGAAAATTGATCATTCAACAATGGAACGCCATGGAATTAATCGGATTCAAAATTCAACTCCCCAGCAGTTGTTTGTTGCACTTCTATTCACCAACTCTTCCGCCTGCATGCAGTCTCATTTTTTTTGATTTGGCAAAGCCGTCTCGAAGGTCTTCCAGGCGTGCTTCAAGTGAGGAACAGTTCTTTTTCTCTCCACGGATCACCAAGCTGATCAGTCATCTCGTGCTTCCCCACGCCAGAGCACTGGCCGAGGTCCCTTGAGGGACTGGAGAAGTTGAATGTGGGCACTCCGCTCAAGACCAACTGGAACCAGTTCTTGCACAAGTTGCTTGTTTGCCATCCAAAACACAAACAAAGGTTTAAGATGTTCTAAGCATCGGTGCAAAAGGGTTCCAGCGACGAGTATGGCGAGGAGTGTGCATTGTCGGGTCTGCGCATCATGACTTTGTGCCAGACTTTGCCATGTGAAAGAATCTTGTAAGTACTTCTCGAAATTGAGGTTGCCACAGCTTGTGGCAAAATCCTTCAATCATTCAAGTTTCATTAGGAGAATGGTAGTGGCACTACCTAGTCATGGCGATGTGAATGGATCACCACCATTCATCCACGGCCAGAGGGGCTTGTTGTCGCCGAAAAGCATTTCAAGCAGATGTTTGGAGACCGAACAAAGATGAAAAACAACAGTATTTCTATACTTCCACCAGTTCTGGATCATTGTTTTGGGGTCCCCAAGGTTTGAAGGTATCATATACAATCACAATACATGATGATACATGATGTATCTATTCTCTATCTGATATCCATCTGATGAAATCTTTGATGCTTTCGAAAGGGCCGCGGAGCTGTTAGCCATGTCAGGCCAGCGATTTCCTCAAATCGCGCAGGCTTTGAGCTTCGATTCCACAAGTCTGCGATTGAACATGGTCTTGGATGGTGGACAAGACAAACAAAAAATGAGAATTGACGGAAGTGGTTGACCAGAAGTGGCAGTTTACATTTCTCGTTTGCAATGCTTAGCCATAGAGAAATTTCGGCGCATTGACAACGGATCTTGTGTTTGGGAGACCAGTTTGACATAACAGAATAAAGATGAATAAAGTGTTGCCATTTCCCAAGAACTTGTGTCGAAAGAACCGTTCGGCTGTCAAGGGATCCTATGTGCATTTGGGCGGACAAGTCTCTGGATAAAGGCGAAGATGCGCTCTTCCATAAATTCTCGATCCTGTGCAATGCAGGCAGCCAAAAATACTCACATGCTGGGATCCTATGAATTGGTGATGAGCAATGGTACATGTTGCTGGATCCCAATGCCAGCTTCTGATGTTCGGGATAAATGATATATTATGATATATTATGATATATTAGGATATACTCGGTATACATGGAATATGGTGTTGTATGTTTTTGTGTGATATGTTGAAAAGTTTATGCATTGTTTGCGTCAAGCAATAGTCCCACAGGCCACTCGAAATTCTGCACCATCAAGAATAATCTGCATCACGATGGGACCGGGCCCATTGGGTTCCCGTTTGAGGATTTGCGCTTTTGCTTTACTGTAAATTGGAAACATGTTTGCTATTACACGTGAGGCAGTGTGATTTATGTAATAGATGTAATAGTTTCACTCCCAATTGTGTCTCTTTTTTTTTAAGCAGTACTTTCCCATACCACTACGTCTGATCATCTGATCATGAAGCGCATGACCTCTGGGATTGTCACTGCACCCGACAGCACCGGTCCTTTTGACTCCTTGGGGAGTGTCTCTCCTCGGCCATCCAAATCACTTAAGCCATGGACCAAAAGAAGACAAGGTACATCTTTGTCAAAGAATTATTCATCGGTGCATAGATTCTGTTCATCAACAATAGGTCAATAGGCCAACACACTCCCTTTGTCACCAACCTGCTGGAGTATATCAGAGCAGGGCTTTGATTGACAATGTGCAAAAATTGTGAGCTCTTTGCAGGTACCGCTCGTGCACTAACTATACCATGTTGGCTGATCCAGCAGTGTGAGAGACCTGGTGTCAATGAGTCCGCTCTCCACCAAGCATCATTGGGAAACAGCAGCAGCTGATATGGCTTTTGCGCAGCGATCAGTGCGTTGATCAACCGTGCTGTGTGACGGAAGTGAACATTCCTGGCTGCTCGGCAAGTCACTGGTCACAATATTTGGCAAAGACATTGCTAGCAGGGATTTTCAAATCATCTTTGACCAGTTCCGAATTGCCCTTTCACATCACAAGAGTACACAACTCTTCACTCAGTTTCACTCAGGACTGGGCTACTGCCTATCCCTAACAAGCGAGGAGCCAGGGTCTCCACTAAAGCCTACCTGAAACTGCCTAAGCCGAGGGCGATACTCCTCCTTCCTCAACAAAGAAATCTATCCCTGTCTATGGCTGTCTGTCAGGCATTCAGTGATTCAGAACCAGAAAGTCACTAAGGGTGGCCATCATTTTCAAAGCACAATGTACACAACTGCTGACATGGCTGGCTTCCTTCTGATTTCACAACGTGTGCCTTGCCATATCTTGCCATCATCCACAATCCCAGAATACTTCATGTGCCAAGAAACTCATCGAGTAATCCATGCACAAGCAGCAAATCTCCCTTCATGGAGCTGACCTCAGCAGGAATGACGTCAAATCCTGGTTGGGGGGCGATTTGGTCTACTTGGCTCAGTGGAGTTCATATATGCTTCCGGTCAGAGAACAGCTTCGTTGGTTTGGGAGTATACCGGTGCGGGTGCACCTATCGTTTTAAAAATAAGATGCAATTTGTATCGATGTGTCGTGTCTGTGTAGGAGTATCATGTGCAGGCGTTTTCGTGTTGTATCAATATCATCTTGACCTACATAATCTACATAGCAAAGACAGCAATAAACCTAATAAACCTAAGTATGAACATGTGCTTCTGCTTCCCGGAGCAGGCATGACTGTCAGAATTTGGGCATCCTCAGTACTACCCCAGGGTTGCATCGATTCAAGTTGCCTAGAGTCAAGTCCTTTAGTAAATCGATTAGTGCATCAGATAACAAAACTAAGTATTAGCACGTATTTGTTAGCTATGCAGCAACTTTAGCCTTAGCGGAACGGCCCACACTAAATTTCCCGGAGACTTTTGGGAAATCAGCGTGAAAAACCATTGAATTGAAGCATTCACCCTCAAATGCATCATACATTGGATGACATATGGGGATGGGTCAAAACCCTGGTACCTAGTGAACCCCAAAATAGCTGGTAAATGGATGTTCACCCCACTAAAAATGTATCTATAGGTATTGACCCATACCCATATAGAATGAGCTTTTGGTTGCGGTTCATTGAGCCCATTGCTTAGATTCTGACCAAAACCTGCAACAGCCGTGGGCATTTCCAGTTCCGGAAATGCACTCATTCACCGATATTGGCCGCTTGATCAAGCGGGCTCTGAGCGCCGAACATGTTCCATCACGGAGCTGCTTTGGTAGCCTGCGCGGCGCGACATTCACTACAGTAGTGGCTGAAACATACCCCATGACGGATCCATGGTGCTGGTATATATGCTAACATTGGGGGTATATTGATGGTAAATGTTACATAATGTTACCATATATAGCAGCACCATGGATCCTATGGGCACTGAAACCATCTGAAACCGTTGCATCTAAAATAAATGCATCACCGAACGCACCCTGATTTGCCATGATTCACCAACGATGATTTGCCAGGGTTAAGTCCGTTAAGTCTGCCGCAACCATGCCAAGATAGGAGAAACACCTAATAGCTTATTGAGCGGATCATTGAATGGTTGGTATTTCAGGGTACATGTATGATATGTTTGTCTGGACCATAGCCACTCTGGTAGTGGATGACTTTGCCACTTCACGTCGTTTTCGGCATTTCTTGGCGACGCCTTTCTCATTGCTCTTGGGTGTTCCCATATACCTGCGCGTCTCGATTGTCATCCATTGTCTCAATCCCGGCTAAGAAAAAACGCGTCAAATCTGGCTGACTTGCAGAATTCGTATTGGCAAATCAGTGACAACTGACAGTGTATTCAAATCAGCAATACCCACAGGATCCATGTATGCTATATATGGTAACATTTACCATCAATATACCCCAAATGTTAGCATATATACCAGCACCATGGATCCTATGGGATATAATTTCATCTACAGTATCGGAGTATCGGTTTGATGCCAATTCCACCTGGAATGGGACCTGGGATGTTTTGTCACTCTGAGAAATTCAACTACGGAAAAACTACGTGCGTCGCGTCGCACCTTTCTGTATAGCAGGTGTCGTAGCCATCCCAACCTGAAATGCGGATTGCTTTGCCAGAATCATCTGGTCAGGTCTCCTGAAAATTCCCTTGGTTTCACCATGTTTCACCACTACAAAATCAAGGGGTACAATATGTGTGTTTGCATCCATAAAAAAGCCAAGTCAGCATGTTCTGTGTCCAACATCCACTCCCCTATACATCCCTATGGTATACGATACGATCCTATACTGATGTTCTGGCAGGAAGTGAGATGGTCCTTATGACAGCTTGGCAATCTGACACCATCGCCTCAACATTTCCAACCGCTTGGGGTCCACCATCCAGCCGGGGGGTCCGGACTTGTAACTGGTGCTCCCGCCACTGCACATTTGAAGACGTCACTGCCCTGCCCATCAGGATCACAATTTCCCGACAAATGTACCAATAGATGTACCGAACATCTATCATATCCCATAGGATCCATGTATGGTATATATGCTAACATTGGGGGTATATTGATGGTAAATGTTACCATATATAGCATACATGGATCCTATGGGTATATCTCTGATATATTCTGATACTGTATCATCTGACATCTCTTTCCCGAGGTCAGTTCACCTTTCCCTTCAGGCCGTGTGCTTGGTTTGTGTCAGTTCACCAACTGGAAAATGCCAACATAGATGGCCTTGGCCAAACACATGGCACTCAGGTAGCCACCATAGCTCCAGCCATAGATGGCCTTGGTAGTCAATTCTCCATCTCCAATCCAGGTTACCCTCTGGTAAACTAACATAACTATGGAAAATCACCATTTTTAATGGGAAAACTCACTATGAATGGCCATTTTCGATAGCTATGTTGGTTTACCAGAGGGTATAAATCAGGAGCCTCAAATCAGGTCCTCATTTGAGGCCGCTGCCACTCTCTTTGGATCGGCCAATCCCTTCTGCACGCACCATCGCACTGCCGTAGCCTTGTGCGTCAACTGATGGGGCGAAGTTGCCATTAGCCATGCCAGTCATGCAGTTCAAATCAGTTCAATATCAAATTGAAAAAATTGAAACATATTGAACTATTGAACCATGACATTTGGAGATAAGATAAGATAAGCATGCGTTGAGGATTCTTATTTTATTGTTGAACGATTTTGACACAACTAGAAAAGCAAATTGATCAGGTGCGCTCTAACTTGGGTGCTTACTCCTTCACGGCCAGATATCGCCAGCTGGATCGCGCCTGATCTTCTACTTCAATGTTTCCCATGTCAAATTTCAATCCTCCTTCAAAGTTCAAACCTCGACCTGAGGCGCAACTCCGCCGGAGGGAGAGGACCAAATAGGGCACATAGGGCCCAAATGGCCCAAATGGCCCAAAACAAAATACAGTAATTCTGGAAGGCAAGGTCAAGGCAAGGTCAAGGCAAGGTCAAGGCAAGGTCAAGGCAAGGTCTGCTGCAATGTGTTCCATACTGTACGAGATCTTCAGATTTTGCTTCGCTACTTGATGGTGCATGTTGGTTGCACTGTCGCATGGCAAGTCGCACTGAGTTCTTGAGAAACAACAACAATGGCACCTTTTCAGATCCCCAGGAGTCTCTAAGATGTCCAAAGGTGTTTTCTTAAATAATTCCTCAAATATTTCTACTCAGGACATACTCTGTGTCGAGGTACGGTTGCTGCCGCGGTTGTCACATTTCACCACCAGGAAGCCTTTACTCCTTAGGGCCTGCAGGCGGACTGGTGAGGGGCTGGTGAACATTGCAGATCCAGGGCAACACGTTTTTGGTGTCTTCTGTCTCGGCAGGATCTGAAGGAGTTTTCACAAGAAGGGACAGCGCTTTAGTGCAAGGGCTGAAAAAGCGCACTTTGAAAACACCAGTTTCAGAAATACTTCCTTAGCCCCATACTAAAGTTATCTAAAGTTCTTCCTTCGTCCAAGCAGGATGGAATCTCCCTCAGGGTATAGTTTGCACTGCCCCACCATGAAGGTCACCCACAGAAATTCAGAAAGCTATGGCCTGCGCCCGCAGATCCGCTGTCATGCCCCAGTTGTTGGAGATGAATTGAACCTTTGTGCAGCAAAGAACGAATCGACGACGCGGAAACAAACCGATTGGCGTTCCTTTCAAGTTCTTTCTCGCTGAAGCCAAGATACGTGTGGACCTCCATAGCACGATACCACTGTGGGGTAAGGTCCAGGTCCAAATTTTGCCGGATCCGGTTTGTAAACGGCGCCCTGCAATGTTACCTTTTTGTCCTGACGTGCGCATGGGACACCATGGATACCATGGGAATCGGGAAACTGAAACTGCAGCGATCGGATAGGACCTGGGTGTCAAAAATAGGGGAGGTACCTCAAGGGTACCTCCATGTACCCAGTATCTTATGGACTTCATGATGCAGGGTCTTCTCCAACTGCCAAGCGAATTTCATGGGCCTTCAATACATAAAAAAAAATACCATCCGATCAACATCGACAGTGTAGACATCCACCTGTCCAAGATTCTGTGGACTGAACCGTGAAGAGCTCTGGTGACTTCAGGTTCAATGTCGGAATCAGAGGATCTTCATTCTTGTCCTTGGAAAGCATACCCTAACGTTTACATATATATGGAAAGATCCACCATTTTTAATGGGAAAATCTACTGTTTCTATGGCATTCTATGGCCATTTTCAATAGCTATGTTAAATTACCAAAGGGTATCTGTTCTGAAAGCTGTTGAATTGGAGGCTTTGCGCAAGACAGATGCTTGGGGCTCTGTGAACTTGAACTTATGGTCTCTTGGAAACGTGTGTCTGTGAAAACATGCTGCAATTGCTATGTAACAATGTTGACGAAGAGCGGCTCGGTTGATACCATGTACCCTGCAACCAAATAACAACCTCTTTACAGTAGTGCCAAACATTGATAGACATTGAGCATATTTGAGCATAATTGCCTTACCATTGCCATAATCAATACATCTCATCACTCACTAGGGCGTCAACCCAGAAATGGAGACCTGCCATATCCTACATACAGGAATTGCCTCCGGAACTGCTCAACGAAGTGAGATCAAAACTGCCTGAGACTCACTTGGTTTCAGGGAATCCAAGCATCAGCATCACCAACACCCCATCATCCATGCCTCACAACCTGACCTTTCAACCCAGCTGCGATGGTACAGACCTCACGTCCATCCTCCAAGCTCCGAAGCTTGGCTGAGGCTGGGCGATCCATCGCCGAAGATGTGTCCACGAAAAATTTGCATTGCCTCGGTAAAAACGGCTGACACAGCCTAAAAAGACGAAAAAGGTGACTGGACGCCCAATATCTTGGATATATCATCTTATGATATCTTATATATGGATGTACCTTATGGATGTATCTTATGGATATATCTTATGATACCTTATGTATCTTATGGATGTATCTTGGCCGGTACAGTATGAGCCCAACCAAAACTTTGGCTGCCAGTATTTCGTATATTCGGCCCAGGTGCTTGTCCACCACCACACCATGCATTCCAGCTTCTTTGGTGATCTGCTGCACCTTCTGTGAAGGGCCTTCCTTAAGACTTGCCTTGAACAAATGTCTTCCCAGCCACTTCCCTTCGGAAGTGCCCATAAAATAGACATAGCCCTTCCTGGGTCAGGATGCTGGGCCAGGCTGGGCACTTGACATCGAAACCATCTTTATGCCGGATCTGAGACACCACCAGGTTTGGGTAGGCCCCTCACTTGCTCCCTGCAACCCCGAGGTGCAACTATGTGCAACTTCTCAAACCGTTAGAACACCCCTTGCAATTCTGTCAGATGGAATTGAGTTGGGCCACCTCGCTCAAAATACTCAAATACTTACAACATTGAACGATCTGAATGAATGAGTCAATCGACCAAATAGGGCGTTTGAATCGATGGTAATTACTTCAGACTTCGGGGCAACTGTCCTCATCAAGTATGGGGGTCTAACACGTTCACATTCAAGAGTTGCGAAATAGTTGAACTGACCCAAAAAAACATTTTAGAAGAGCAGTGACATTGTGTGCACCACCTGAGACCAAGAGAAAGAGCCTATCTGCAACCTCCCAAGTTGAATACCAAGCGTCTCTTCATCCACAGCAACAACCTCTTCCACTTGCCATTCGCCACCAGTGACTGGCTTTAGCGTCGCCTCTCCCGAAGCATCAGGTCCATAAATGTAAAGGTGCCTCACAATCTCACCATTGTGCAGCTGGGTATAGCTGGAGGGTGTGGATGGGGCACTTGGATTTCTAAGGCTGTGGCTGCGGCTCTACACACCATGGGTTTGCAAGCCAAAGTGATCCGGTAAGCAAGCAGAAAGAGCAGAAAGGCGCAAAACGGCACAATTAGTTGGGGCATGAGTCATGAGCGTTCCATAGTGTTCCTGTATTTTCCCCACCCAACACATTCTTTCAGCTTCAACGGTTGTAACATGTCGTAAGGGTTGTTCTGGAGATCCGGCCAATGGTTTCTTCTCGTCGTGCGCCTGAAGCCACTACGTTCACTGGCCCAAAGGAAGCGTCCATTCTCCAAGGGCTTCAGCATGTTATGCACGTTGATCCATACCTCACTTTGCGAACCAAATGGAACCAAGATCAGCCTCTGGAAAGTTCAAGACCCAGAATTACAGTTGGGTTCTAAGAAGTTTCAAGAGTGGGACCTTTCATCACCAATTTGGAGTCTTCATTGAGTCTTCATGCTGGATCCATTCCGATCCCGTGCTGGTGCATGCTAGTTCAGCTTCGACACATCCGTCTTTTCTTTGAGAAGAGTGCGGATGGCCCCGGTCTTTGGATCCAGTTTCCTGGGCCGTTGCAAAAAAAGGCCATGGCCCATGACCGCTTCCCTGGGTCCAACATCAAGAAACCAAACCCACAGCTGCAAAGGGACTATAGACACATTTGTCACTGGATGTCACTGGCTATATAACTAGGTCCTACTCAAACAATCTCACAAACATCTATCCGTACCACTTGGAGAAATTTGGAAAGTCGATCTGCCAAGTCAATATTAGTGAACTTCGTCCCAGCATCAACACTGCGATCTCTGTCTGTTCCCTGTTCAAGACCTGAGCAATGATGGATCCCTCCGGAATCCATTGCACCCGCGCCAGGTAGAAATCCTCACGAATGCTGGCGCTGCTGAGGCGATGAATTTTCGGTCGACCAAGGTCGAGTGTTCCGCAAGATCTTTCTACAGAAATACAACGGTCATAGCAACAGAAATTGTTGACTTCTCTACTGACTATATCGAACTAGTAGTCTGGTTGGCGGTTTCAACCCCTCTGAAAAATATCAGTCAGTTGGGATGACTGCTTCTTCTGGCCCATCAGAACCAAGCCATTGACAACTTCACAGCACCATGGCATCCACCGCCCAGCCCTGTCCTCACCAAATGGTCCAGCGAGATCAAAACCTGGGTTCAGCAGCCACTAAGCAGCCACTATGCAGACCCATTTTACAACAAATGGGTTGAACAAAATACCATGATAGTTCTGATAGTTGAAACAAATGTGCGAAGGTTGAAACACATCGCATTCTGTTGATAGTGTTCAACCTTCGCTAACTTTGATCCTAGCTCAAGACATGGCACACAGACTTCAAATGACCGCAGCACTCAAGAGAAGAAAATACCCGTGATCGGTATTTGCAAGCAAGATCATACCCGCAATGACCATTGAAGCAATGACTGCAAAGGGCAAAAATTGGAACTAGGAAAAGCACACTCAACCCCTATTCGCCTTTTGCCTGTAACGTATCCTATTCCGATGATAGAATCATTAAAAAACAATCTCCCACTCCAATTTTGCCTTGATCACAATCTGCTTCAAGCGAGCAACTAAGACCTAAGGTATCTAATAAAGTAACATAAAAATCTTCAAGATCCATCAAGATCCATCAATATCCTAAGCTTTTCTAAGCTATTCTAAGCTCATATCAATGGGGGATACCAACGCCTTGCCACCAAGACGAGACGCTGGTGACCTTCGGTGGGCTGCCGGCGGCCGCATCGCCGGAGTCCTCCGCCGCGGAGACCACGCAAAGCTTCACCTCGCCGGAGTCGATTTCGCCAACGAAATGGCGAAGGAAGATAGAGATTTTGGGTACCCATGGGTACCCCAAATCCAGTGACCTTAAAACAATTAAAAACATCTATTAACATCTATTAAAACTGCCATTTTAAGGGGTAATTATATGTAATTCTTCCAAGTTTTCAGACACCAAACAAAGCGAAATCGCAATGCTTTGCTGCGCTGCCTTGGGATTCTCCTCGCCCGCAAAAGGGTAACGATGATCCTCCTGGAGAGTTTGGATCAGTTTCCCAACCAGCGGATTATGGCCTTTCTCCCGACGATTTTTTCATGTCACTTTGGGCAAAGAATTGTCTCATGCATCGCTGGCAATGATACATGGTCTGGGTGCTCACATGGGGATGGGTCAAAACCCTATCCCCCTGGTGAACATCAAAATAGCTGGTAAATGGATGTTCATCCCCTAAAAATGGTATGTATAGGTATTGATCCATACCCACATCACTTGCTACCAATGAGGCTGACATATATAGGCTGACCCTGGCTGTGCTCGTGCTCCTGAGCGTTTTCACCCACATCACTGGAGCCTGAATGCATGATGCGGAACCTTGGCAGCCGTCAACTTGCATTACCCTCTGGTAAACGTTAACAAAAAACTATGGAAAATCACCATGTTCAATGGGAAAATCCACTATTTCGATGGCCATTTTCAATAGCTATGTTAAATTACCAGAGGGTAAATGGGTCAAGTACTAAAGCTTTGCTCCTGCTGAAGGAATCTCAGCCAGTCACTACAATCCAAGCAACTCCAAACTGTTTCAAGCTTAGCAGCTTCCAAGAAAAAAAATTGCCCGTTCCTGCTTTTTCGATACGCCTGCGAAATCCTAAAAAATCAGGGATAGACACCTGCTCTTCTCGGCTCTTCTCCGCTCCAAGGGACTGTGGGATGTGAGCTTCCGTGACCTCTTCATAGGCCACCATACTACCATCTGGTGATATCCAAAAACCCTCGAACCTGTCCAACTCCTCCTGTCGCATGCGGCAGATGCGGCAAACAATTTTTGAAACCGCTTCAAACTCAAGAAAATTGGCCAGATTGGCAACTAAGGTAGCTATCCACTATGGAATTGCAGCCTCAAGGCAAATACATATTCACTTTGCAGCTCTGCACCTCTGTCCGAACAGTACCCTTCCCTTCATCTCAGCAGCTCACGATGGGAATATCAATATCTACAAAGCAAAAAAGATCTTGCAGCTTAGTCAATATTAACTATTATTATTAGTAATTCAATTATTGATTCATCACAGTTTCAAGAAACTTGATATTCAATTTGTATCCAGTAATCATTTCCCCAAAAAACAGCGGTCATGACGCAGCGCAGGACGGCTCCTGCGCCAAGAAATCGGCCAAGCCATGCGTCTTGCCCGTTCCACGCGCCCCCGCCGTCAGCTGCCGTGGCTTGTGCGACCCATCGGCCGGGACGCAGTAGACTTCGTCCTTCCAGACCTTGATGAAACATGTGGTATCTGGCTAGTGGTTGAAAAACACCTCTGAAAAATATGTGTTCGTCAGTTGGGAATATGATTTCCAATATATGGAAAAATCCGCCGACCCCGGCCTTCTCCAAGGCAGGGGCGGCGCCTGGGACCACCGGAGGTGTGGAACTTGCTTTGTCACGGCCATGGCCTTCACATTGTCCAAGGCTTCCACCAAGCCCTGTGGCCGTAAGCTTCTGCTGTTCCAGTGTTGCAACCTGCCGTTTGCGTGCACCTAGGCTCTGCCCTTGCTGTTCCAGCGTTGCCGTTTGCCTGCACATAGCCTCTGTTGTTAGGGCGTTCAAGCCTGTCGCTTGCCAGCCTTCAAACTTTTAAAAACCCCTATCCAAGGCTTCCACCAAGCCCTGTGGCTCAAGCTTCTGCTGTTCCAGTGTTGCAACCTGCCGTTTGCGTGCACCTAGGCTCTGCCCTTGCTGTTCCAGCGTTGCCGTTTGCCTGCACATAGCCTCTGTTGTTAGGGCGTTCAAGCCTGTCGCTTGCCAGCCTTCAAACTTTTAAAAACCCCTATCCAAGGCTTCCACCAAGCCCTGTGGCTCAAGCTTCTGCTGTTCCAGTGTTGCAACCTGCCGTTTGCGTGCACATAGCCTCTGCCCTTGCTGTTCCAGCGTTGCAGCGTGCCGTTTGCCTGCACACATAGCCTCTGTTGTTAGGGCGTTCAAGCCTGCCGTTTGCCAGCCTTCAAACCCTTTTAACCCCTAAACCCCCTACAACGCCTAAAATGCTTCGCCAGCGTGCCGTTTGCCAGCCTTCAAACCCTGAAAACCCCCAACATGCTTCGCCGGCCGCGTTCAAGCCTGCCGTTTGCCAGCCTTCAAACCCGTAAAAACACCTATCCAAGGCTTCCCCCTTTGCCTGCAATTGGCGTGCCCTTTGCCTGCAATTGGCGTGCCCTCTGCCTGCACATAGCCCTCTGCTGTTAAGGCATTCAAGCCTGCCGTTTGCCAGGCTTCCAACCCTTTCACCCCTTAAACCCCTTAAAACCCTTAAAACCCTCAAATCCCTTAAAACCCTCCAAATCCCTCGCGGCAGCTTCCACCACGCCCTCTGGCCGTCAGCTTTTGCTGTTCCAGGGTTGCAGCCTGCCCTTTGCCTGCAATTGGCGTGCCCTTTGCCTGCACATAGCCCTCTGTTGTTAGAGCTATCATCCTCTTCATCATCATGATCATCATGATCAACACCATCATCCTCATCATCATCAATCAAACATGCACCGCACCAACCACCTTCAGCCCAACCCCCCAGAAGGGGGGTCGGCGGCACCCGGGCGCTAGCCCATTCTATAATTAAAAAATGTTCCAAACCACCAACCAGGGTATAACATGTGGTAAAGTTAGTAAAGTGTTGGACATTTAGAATATTGTCGCACCACTCTCTGGAAATATAGGATTAGGATATTGCCTTGAGTGAAACATGTGTGAAACAAAACCGAATCCAGTACTTGCAACAAAGGGTTGAGATGTCACAGAAAATTTGCAGCAAATGCAAAAACATGAGAAGACTAAGATGATTAGACTAGACTCACCTTGCCATTACCACATCAGATGATGTTTTCAGCCATCTTACAATCTCCTCCAATGCGCATGCTGTTCTTGCCTCTTGCTGCATAAATGAGCCAAGAAGCGAAGCAAACCTTAGAAGACAGCGCTTGGTGTCACACACTAGACAAGAATGGATCATTATATGATCCGGCAGGAACTGAATCCTGAAACATGCAGATTAGATACGAAACAATGAAATTACCGATGCATCCTACGAATAATAGAAGTTCTCCTGAATGGTCATCGGGTTCAGAATCGACATCAAAAAGAATAAATAAACCAGCAATAATATCATCGGCGATGTCTCGGCGAAGCTTAGACAATAGATACTGTCGGCGACGATGTTGTCGGCGATCATGTAAACGGGTTGTTACAAGTATGCTTTCTACGCCCTTGCTCAGAGGAAGGTTCTGATGCAGCGAAACAAATCGTAAATGACCAAAATTGATTCCAGATTGCGACAACAGTGCAGCAACAAGACAGCTTGTTCAACAGTTCAAACCAGATTCTGCAGGTACACAGAGTTGATCAGACTCTGCTTCCAGCACAAGTGGATAGCTTCGTTGGGTGCAGTCTCCACTGTGCTCTGCACCCCCCTGCAAATGTGAAAAGATGAGAACAATAGAAGTTTTACATCTGTTCAGATGTTACACACACACACACACCCCGCATGTAGCGGGGTTTGATTATTTTGGAAGAACATCGCGGCTGAGGTCAGCAGAACCACTCAAATCCAATAAGGCTACACGGTGCTAGTATACATAGCCGCGGTCATTCACTCAGAAGGGAAATTCGCTTCGAGTTGAAGTATTTGGATCGCGTCACGGAAGCTCATGCCTTCCACCATCCTCCACGTGTCGTTGATTTCCCCAGATGCCATAGCGGTCGTCAAAGTGGCTGAAAGTTGTTTGGCCAGCTCCTGGATCTTCGTAGTTAAGCGGGTTGCCTCCGTAGGAGAAGTGGTCTCAATAGGAACATTGTGAAAAGGATGGTGCCCATGTACTAGAGGAATTTCAAAGTAATGGCGCCAATAATCCGCTGTGCGCAGGGACCACTCCCAGTTGCCCGAAAGACCATAAAAGTAGTGCTCGGGATCACGACATTTGGAGAGCCCCGACATGGGGATCTCTTCGATGAATAACTCCCTGGTATTGTTGGAGTGGGTAATGATCTTGAAGTGGATCTGGTGGACCACGCGTGATGAGAAGTGACCACGATGGAAGAAGTTGTAGGTAGGACTTGGCTCAGTCGGGAACGGAACATCAGGAAGTGTAGGGCCCGAGTATGTATCGGTGGGGGGCGTGGTTCTGATGTCGTTGGTTGTAGTGTCAGCTGCCGACAGTGCCGAGGTGGTCGAGGTCGTATGGTCAGGGGTGATAGAGTGACCTAGTTCAGAAGCCTGGCCATCTGACACTGGATCAAGGGCTGTGGAAGCGAGTCCACGGTTGGGATTCGAAGGCCAAACCAGGCCCGCCACGGTAGCGTCACGTTTATGCTCCATGGGTGAGACGGTCAGAAAATGCGTTAAATGGCAAAACCAAAGGCTGAGGAATAGGCCAAGCCAGAGAAAAATAATACTAGAAATATCCAATGGTCAATCCTATTGTTCTGAATCCACGGAAAGAGCAATGTACGGAACCTACAGTGATGGAAATGAATCGAGATGTGAAATTCCAAGGAGTCCGCCGTGTCAATAAAGTGTCATGGATGAAAGGAACACAACAAGTCGGGCATTTTCCTGTTCACCAGTGAAGCACATCAGGGTAGGATAACTCCAGGGCTAACTTTATGGCATCTCAGACGTAGCACGAAAGGTTGTGAGGTACCAGGTACGAGCAAAGTGGATTCGATGTAGTTGTACTGCCGGATTCGCCAGTCAGGACGGTATTCTTCCAAAAGCTTCATGACAGTCCAATCATTGGGAACTTGGAATGCATCACCTTCCAGATCGCAATAGCGAAACTCCAAAGTTGAAGGGTCAAGTTGGATGTCCCATTGGGTCCTCAATCTTGTTGTGATGGCGGGGCGTAGGTCTCGAATGGGAAGAATGCCTGCTTCAATTGGTTCCAGTTGGCGTGACCAGGTAAAGAGAGCTTCAAGTTCGCCTGCACTAACATTCTTGAAATTTGAATTGGCAAGAGCCATGTAGAGATCACGGTCAGGTTCGCTACTGTGTGTCAATCCCTGTAAAGGAGAGTAGTCCACTAAAATCAGAACAGGTCTGTATGGAGGAGGGTCCACATCACCAGGAAGGCATCGGTGTCCGGCAAGCCATGCAGCAGTTCGGGGACCTTGTGGTGTATCAACCCTAGATGTAGCGCGATATGGGTGAGGGCGAGAAGAATGAGCCATGGCGTCGAGTATCAAGCGTGAAGCCCAGGCTGCGACATAAGAATACTATAAAGATCGAAAAATAAAGCCCACAAGAAAAATGGAAGAAGACGGAATACATAGTGAATAGTCACGAATCGAAGTTTAGTCACAGTTCTTTTTTCTTCCGCAAATTGCTGTGGTGTCTTACACACTGGAGTCAGACATATCCATCGGGCCAGGGTCGTTTACATCCAGTGGACATTGTAAATGGTGAGCAGGTGCGGTAGGGTGATTAGAATGTAGGGTCCGGTGAAATGTTGCCGATGGTGAAGAAGGTGGTGTAGATCTCCATGGTGGCCAAGATAAAGAAATAGTGGTACCTTGTGAATGGTGTTGAGCCGAACGTCCCCAGCATGATTGTAAAATGTGAAGCTGGTCCGGTATCGCTTCGTAAGGTTGAGAAACGTAGACATTGGTGTGTTCAGGATGTGGGAGAACAGGAACGGAAGTTGCCGTAGAGGAGGAGGATGATTGGATGGGTACATCATAGTATTGGCGCCAATGATTAGCCGTAGTGCGTAGGGCGGCCCGATCACTGGTGAGGTGCATGTTCTCCAAAAACGTTTCCACTGGCTTCCACGTTTCAATACCATCTAGTGTCCTTTCCACGATCCAAAGTTCATCAGGACGAGAAGACAAGGGATAACTCAGCTTCTTGATGAATACGGAATGAACGGTTGTAGAGGTTGGAATCATTCTAGCTGCCCTGGGAATATACGATGCTGAAGTAGGATCATCAGGTGGGAGATGTGGGTCTGGGCCATGTACTGATGTAGGTGAGGAGCGGGTTGAAGCCAGCCGAGCAGCGTCATCAGTGGCGGAGGTCGTCATATACAGAAGTAGTAATATGATATCGAAACAGACTGAACTGAAGCCGAAATTTCGTTGGAAAGCGTCCATATTGAGATAAACAACCACGAGAGGCACAAAATGGTAAACATGAGAAACAAGGGATACAAAGAGGTCAATATCAAGGTGGGGGACTTCACGACCTGTGCTTTTCCCTTTTTCCCAGACGTGAGCGAATCAAGGTAATATCTCAAAAGGCTAGTCACGCGGCAGTCTTAGTGTATCGGGTGGCGGTGACGAATGGATGCCCTCGAGGAATCACTTGAAGATGGACAGCGAAGCCCGTGTCTTGTGGATCTGGATGGGGTGTCAGCAACAAAGGTGAACAATCACGGGACGTGAAGGCATCTAGATGTTGATGAGTTTTCCATGACGGGTAAAACCAGTTCAAAATGTCCAGGAGAGAATGAGGGAGATCATCAAGCATCTGAGCTCCTTGATCGGTGTCTATCATCATGTAGAAATCCGTCGCCTGTAAGTGTATCGACCATCTCTGTAGAAGCGTGTCCGTGACCACTGTTTTGAGGTCTGAAACGAAATGACTGCGGGCGTAGTCCGGGTAGATCACCTTGAAAGTCTGGAACAGGCTGTCATATGCGTCAGTGGAAAGGTTGCCCGCGACCTTGGGGGCCAGGATGTTGTAATATGGGTTTCTGGCGGCCAATTGCTGCATAGGTTTCAGGTCCAATTGGAAAATAACCGATCGATGGGGTGTAGAAGGTGGAGATGTCCGGGCTGGTGGGTGCTGAAAAGGCGAAGAACCCATAGCGGAAGACGGTGCCCTGGTTGGAGAGCGTGATCGTCGGGTAGGAGAGATGCTGTCGTGGGCCATAGCTCGCTGTTGGCAATATCGATCAAGGTGAATGCGGAGAGACATAGTAAACGGCTGGCGGTGTGTATAATGTGAAAGTTCAATGTTAGAGTCGAGCAACCATGCCAAATCGGTTGTGATAGTGAAAAGGTATAGTTCGAGGTAATGCAATACCTTGACGGCAAGAAAAATAGATACACAGGAGTGCGGGTATGAAAAATATTACACGGTACCGCGGGACATCTTTTCCTTGTTTGCGCGTCACCGGTGGTCAGCCAAGTCTGTCTTTGATCTTATTCCACATCGAGCGAACGTCTTCCTCTGATTTGCCCACCTTGGTCGAGATCACCCGCCACGAAAATCGAGACTTCTCGTCCGCTTTCAAAGTACGAAGTTTCTGTTTGTCTTCAAAGGACCAGGATGACAATGGGCTCGAGGAACGGGATCTGGATTTGTCATGTCGGCGACGACGTTTTGCAGGTGCTTTGGGGACTGCTTTGGCTTTGTGTTTGCGATTCGGAGGTGATGGTGTGGTGGTTGAAAGCTTCGAGGGTGCAGGGAGGACTTCAGGTGACGGGGCAGCAACGTGGTGATGTGGTTCAGGAAGATGGGTTTCCAAAAGTTCATCCATAAGTGCCTCTTCCTCAGCTAGATCCGGAGAGGGGATGTCGGCAGTGTCAATGAAGGCGTTGGTCCGGTCCGAGTAGTGCGGTCGCAGCCCATCGGGTTGATTCCATACGTCTGTGCTGGGAAGAGGTGTAGGTTCAATATTGGGGATAAGAGTAGGTGGAAGTAATGCCATTGCTCGATGTAGTAGGAGGTAAGCATGGTGTACATCATGAAGAAATTGAAGAAACACTGGTTCTTGAATCGGGATTGAAGTTGTAGGAGACGAAGAAGCCATCGCGAAGCGTCGAATAAGGCCCAAGGTATAAATGGAAACGAGTTTGAGGGTGAGCCAGCTGAAAAGTCAATACACCAACATCGGGTAAAATAAAGTGTCGAAGGGATAGGTGAGACGTTCAGCAGGGTGTGAAACGTGAGACTTAAGCACAGGTG